TAAGGTATATTAGGAACAAAGCCTTCTCCAAGAAAGATATCTTGGGTGAAATCTACATTCGAATAAGGATCTACGGGAAAATCATAGACGATATTGTCGTCGTTGATTTCAACGGGAAAAGAAAAATAATCGTTGACGAGATACGGATAATATTCATAATTCCCATCGAAAGGAATTTCGGTCGAAGGTGGAACATTGGCATCAGGTGTAGCAACATTAACGTTGTTGACAGTGTTGAAATGATCAACAATCTTTGACAATGACTGATTTTCCATGACTTTACTTTGCAAACTTTTTTTTTTTTCCTTATCTTTTCGAACTTTTCTTTCAGTCTTTTGCTTTTTCTTACGTCCTAGAGGACTTTCATTATCGTGATCTGATGGTCGGCCGTTAACTTGAATAACTTCCAATTCTCGTTTGAATTTCTTGGTTTGTTTGTTTTGCGATTGTACGGTGTACGTATTTTTAACATCGTCATGCAGTCCGTTCCAAAAATACGCAGCAAGCAAACTGAAATTTTGCTGAGAAACTTTTTCCTTGGTAAAAAATTCGATATTATTCCTCCAGAATTCGGTTCTGTAGGTCATAAATGAGTTACCTCCAACTTCGTTTGTTTTTGATTTCGGATCCTCGATTATTACATGTAATTCATTATCGTTATTTGCCATTATCGTAACGGAATATATACTAAAGAATGTAAGGAATATTTTCGTGGTTAAAGGAAATTTTTACTCTTAATAAAGAGTGAAGAAAAAAGAAAGCATGGAGATATCAAACCAGTTGTATTTATATCGATTCCTTCTTTAAAAAAAGGGGACATTAAAACTTCAGATGCAACGATAAAAGACGCCATCAACATAATTGTTACAAGTTTTTTTGCAGGGAAGTACCAAAAAAAAAAAGAAAAAAAAAGGAATCTAAAAATAAACATGAATAAATTATTAGTTTAATTATCTTTTTTTTTTTAAAAAAAAATAAAAGAAGGTTCTTATTATAAAGCAGAAATGGTTATTTTTGCTTTGTCATAATTGTCATAAACAATAGCATAATATAATTTATAATTTAAATTATCGCACTTGAATGTCCGATAAATAAAAGAATTCACATTGTAAATACATGACAATATAATTATACTCTATCCTTTTTCATCAAAAAAAAAAAAAACCAACCGCACGGTATTGATTCTGAGTTTTAAAAGAACTTACAATTATGTATGTGTGTCCGTGTGCGTGTATTTTTTTTTAGTATGAACTTACCTTGTGAGAACATAGATCTATGTATGTAAGCGTCCGGAGTTTTCAAGGACAACTGCATAGAGAGCTTTCAATACTCGCGTGAAACCTTTTTTTTTTAGAATCAAAAAAGGGATTACCAAATTAGTTGTTTAAACAATCATTTTGCCATATTTTTAAATCAAAAAAATTATTTGTATAATTACACATCAAATTCATGAAATTTAATTTGCCCCATGACTCAAAAATTTATTTTCAAATAGTTGAGAATTGTAAAAAAAAAAAAAATTTGAATGCCAAATATATTAAGTTTAGATTTTGTGAGCCTATCATTTTTTCTATGTTTCCATAAAAGGTTTAGTTTGACGGTTATTATTTTCAACGGATTTGACAACTCCACAAATAAAGAAAAAAAATTTTTTTTTTCATAGACAAGTTTTTAACCAGCTTTGTAAAACAAAGCAATACGGCAAGAATTAAATCACAAAAGAAAAAAATGTTCCATTTGCGCCATATGACAAAAAAATATAAAATTTTTAAGCTAAAAAAACGGATCCAATTAAAAATTGCAGGTCTCGCGGGTTAGTCCTAGTCTCTTTTTGAAACAAAATCAACTTGAAAGCAGGAAAACAATCTCCTGAACCATTCGCAATTATCACATCATACTAGAAAAAGCTATTATAGTTAGAAAAGTGGGGATTACAATCTCCGATTCATTTTTACATAATTAAAAATGTACGGGACCGTGCTCCAACATAAATAATATATACAAATTTGTCAAATGCATTGGGAAAACAATAGATGATAATCTAATTGTCTTTAAAATGAGATTTTTTTATACGCGTTATATTGTGAAACATGATGACTTAGTATCCAGGTCAAATTACGCGTTAGAAAGATTTGGCGAATCCAAAATGTATTAATTAAAATCCGCGTAGATTTAGGCCGATTATGTTATCATCAATGAAAAATCAATTGTTGGCAATACCAAATTATGGTAGATCTGATTTAAGGAATTCTGTCAATGAACTTCTAAATGCATTGTAAATATGTCAATCTTTCAAATGATAAATTCTGTTAGCGAACTTTTTTTTTTTAATAAAAACAAGTGAAATGGTTAAAAAAAAAAAAAAAAAGATGAAGCAAAGGAATCTTTGATGGAAAGTTAGAAAAGACAAGATAAAGAGTAACATAAATTACTTCCAATTAAGATTTAACGATAAAGTCATTTAATTCGTGCATATCATAAGATCAATTTTTAAGTGCTCGACAATTGAATCTAATAAGGCAAACCTGTCATACAATAATCAGCTGATCAAAGTCTTATTTCCATATTTGATTTTGTATCGAATTAAACGGGTAAAAAAAAAAAATAATTTGTATTGTCTTTTAAAGAAATAAAGAAATTGTTCGTTGAGTTTCAGTAGCGCGTCTTTTTTTAATCACTTGAAAAAGCTAAAACTTCCCGATGCTATTAGGCGTAAACTTTTACTATTACGGATTCTCAAAGCCTACATTTCATGTGTATTTTTTTGCATGTTAAACAAATTTACTTGGGATTAAAGGAAAGTTCAGCATGCTAATCTTGACTTTATACAGCATGAAACAAGTTATAGGGTTCGTTCTCACGCGATTTTATCATTTGAAAGATCACTATGAACGAGGTTACTTGAATGACACCATGATGCGAACTATTTTAAAAGTCCGTAACAAAATGTATTAATCATTACATTATGTTGCGTTTAATGCAAAAAAAAACTTGCATGGAATTTATTAGGTAAAATTGGAATTCCTTACATTCTGAAAAATTAAAGCGAAAATGTAATAAAATAAAAGAAACACCGTAAAGTGCTGCAAAATAATCGGCTTTTTTAAAAGACATCTTATTACATTACAGCATTTATATTGTTTAAAGTCAAATGACAAGGGGCTTTATTTTCTTTGAGTGGATTGATTAAAAAAAAAATTTCTCGGGCTTTCCAATAATAGAAGCATAATACCCTAAATAGAAACATGATGAATAATATTTTTCATAATACATAAATCAGACATTATATGTTCATAAAGATACAAATTTTCAAAGGGTAAACAACAAGTTATAATTAGAATGAATATCTCTATCATTTACTAAAGGTATTCGTATTATAATTGACGTTGAATCCTCTATTTACTCAAATGAGGGTTTTTTAAATCGGTGTTTCGTTTACAAATGCGAAATCTGCATACGGTCCAAAAGATTTTATTGTAAAACCATTTTAACCCACAAGAAGCTATTTCACTTACAGCTGCATCCTTTGCCGTCGCCTGAAAATATTTACTTTTTGAAAAAATCTTTATTTTTCCACCCCAAACGTATGTCATCTTACGTTTTCTTCGCATTTTTGTAAATCCTTATTAATAGTCAACAGCTCGTGACCTGGGACGATTGATTATTTGTGATGATAAAAGATGAATTTTGTGATAAAATAAATTTTATGTTGCTTATTTTATAAAAAAAAAATTGAGATTTTGTGATACTATTTATAACATCTTTCGTGATTTTGTGATTTTATGGCACTATTTTTAACATCTTGCGTGATTTCGTGATTTTGTGGTACTATTTATAACATTTGTGATATTAAGTGTTTTTACCATTACGAAATATTGAACAAAAAAAAAATTATTTTGACAATAGTACGGGTACTCTATTCTCCAAATACTTTATATATAAAATTTGATAAAATATGTGGTTGTACTTGTGGAACAAATCTAACCAAATCCGATTCCAGTTTCAAAATGGGAATGATTCCGCAAGTCTCTCTGTTTTTATAAAGATCTGAAAGAATTTAAAATATTGTACGGCATTTAATCTTTTTTTAATGAGATTTAAATTTAAATATCATGATCGAACAAATTTAACAATATGGGACCTTTGCAATAGTAAAGGGGGAAACGGCTGGAAAAAATAAAAAATAGTTAAATGCAAAATCTGAACATATTTTGACCTAAAAATCATATTTGTCATATAGAAGTAAAATTGATTTTTTCCGACAGTTTCCCCCTTTCTATTGCAAAGGTCTCATATCATTCCTAATTATGGAGAAGAAAGTTACCTATTAATAAAACATTTTTGATATTCAACCCATGTATGCTCACCAAATCGGTCAAAGCTCGGGATCACATATGTACTTGGTGTCTTCATTTATTTATTTCCTAAATTAGCCTATTATGATTTAAAGTTTAGCCAATTATTGTGTAATTTCTATAGAGAAAATTAATTTTTTTTCTTTCAAAGAATACCAAAAAAAGAAGAAATCTGATTATAAATCCACGAGGTCGACATTTTAGTTAAACAAATAGTATCCATGCCATGTCAAAGACATAATTCGACATATGCAGGGACCTTTAAAATATCTCATTCATAATGCTCAGTTTAGGTTAACGCGAACTAGATGTTTGGGTATGACGAATTAAGTTCTGTCAATGCGCACGCGTCACACTTAAGCATCATTGGAGAAGTGATTAAAAAGGTAACTTATCAATGATAGTAAAAAAGACAATTAAAAAATTTTTTGTATTATTCTGTTACAATATGACGAGGAATGTATTAAATAAGGAAAGTTTCCTAAAAATTTACACGAATAAGGAATCGATATCGATAGAAGGAAAAGCTTTTCCGTGAGTAGAGAATTCCATTTAATCCGCCTAATTGGAATGGCCGTTACATTAATTAATTTTACTTCGGAAATTTTACACGCGATTCTTTTTGTGTTATGACAAATCAAAACAAATTATGTTGTCAAATGTTTATTATCAATCATCAAATTTTACAATCACAATAATTTGAACTCATTCGCAATGGTAGTTTCTTTTCTTTCTCTTGGCATTTAACACACATAAAATAAAATAAAATACTTATCCTTTTTTAGTGCGTTCAAAATGAAGAGCGATAACGACGAATTGAAGTTTCTCCCGGAGAATAAAACCCTTGAAACATCTTTCATGATTTTCTAGAATACATCGTCTTGATTTCTATTTATTTTCGGGACACTGACACATAATCATAAGCATATTACAAACAAGCTCCAAATGTGGATTTGAAGTAAATTTTTTTTTTATAAATAAGTAGGTACTTGAAAACTTTGTTGTCGAGAATTTGAATCTATTTTAGCAATTCCGCTCATAAAATTATCTATTTATCACCTTTTGTCGAAAATTTGAATCTAATTTATCAATAACCCACTCATAAAATTTATCTATTTTTCTTTCTTTGACCATGAATTCCCTTTCAAAAATGAGTGAAATTCGTTTCTACCCTTATCCGTGTTTTACGAAAAAAAGAATACAAAATCCTTTTTTTTTATTTAGAAGTTCGTTGATCAAACATGCGAAGAAAAATATCCAAATGAAGAAACTCAGTGGGACGGCATCTAAAATTTGGAAAAATTTTTCGGAAA